TCGAAATTACCCTCACGAGATAATTATCGTATATTCTAGAACATGGGATTTCCAATTATTCACTGATAATATTGTAAATAACTTGGACGACTCGTAGTGCGTTGTTTACGTCACCACATCACTCCCCTACCAGTGACGGAGTCAAACAGATCCTACTTGGAAACGGTCTGGAAAATTAACTCTTCTTACGGAACGTGTCCTTTGATCCTCCTTTGAAATGGTAATGGGTGTAGGTGTCTGGACCTTTCTCGAAAAATATCCTCCTTAGAATCGTCGTCTACTATGATGTAGGCTGGTTTAAGTCTATCAATAGTTGCTCTAATTTCCTTCTTCTGCATATCGATGACAAAAGTCTTTTTATTTCTGCTTATGACTCTATAGGGACCATCATAGGGCATTTGTATTCCGGTTTTGGGTCCATCATGTCGAATGAATACGTACTMWGTAGTTGCGAGWTCCTTGAAAACAAAGTTTTTCTTCTCGCCATGTCGCGTACCATTGACTGGTCGGATCTGCTGAATATGATTTCGAAGGTCTTTGATAAACTCAGCTGCATCATCGAACTTGTGGAAGAGTTTCTGTCCATCGGTTATTCTGATGACACTTAATAGCGGCTTTAAGCTGCCGATGGCTTCGTTCCACCATGCCATTTGCTGAGGGATGATAGGCCGTAGTTCTAAGATGGTTCGTACCAGTCAAGTGATTAAGTTGTTTGAAAAGGCATGACTCAAATTGTCTTCCTTRGTCTGTTGTGATACGAAGAGGAATACCAAATCTTGCAATCCAATGCRTGTAGAAAWCTCGTGCAACAGTTTCCGCTTCTTGATCTTCCAATGGAATTACCTCAGGCCATCGGGTAAATCTATCGATACACGTGAGGCAGTAGCAAAATCCTTCGGAATAAGTCATAATTATTAAGTCTAAATGAACATGCTCAAATCTTTGAGACGGTAGCGAAAATGAACCAAGAGGTGCTGTGACATGACGCGTGATTTTGGCTCGTTGACATTCGACACATGCCCGCGCCCAATGTTTGCAATCTGCGTCAATTGCTAGCCACACAAACCTCTGTTTAACAAGCTTCACCGTGGCTTTAACGCCTGGGTGTGCAAGACGATGTAGGCTATTGAAAACTGTACGTCGAAAAGGCTTTGTGACAAAAGGTCTGGCGATGGAAGTTGATGTGTCACAGAACACTAAAACATTCGTACCAGACAATTGAACTTGCTTAAGTTGTAGTCCAGAGTTTTTTTGTTCATATTTTTTCAATTCGTCGTCTCCTTGTTGTGATATTGCCAGAGCAGTGTAATCTAATGTGTCTGACAATGCGTCAACACACGATAGGGTATCAGCCACGATATTCTGCTTACCTGGTACAAATCTAATATCCGTGGTGAATTGTGAAATAAAATCCAAATTTCTGAATTGTCGTGGTGCGCATTTATCTGGTTTCTGTTGAAATGCAAAAGTGATGGGTTTGTGATCGGTATATATAACAAACTCGCGTCCCTCCATCATAATATGCCGAAAATGTTAGACAGCATGATAGATTGCAAGAAGTTTTCGATCGTAAGCTCCGTATTTTGTCTCAGTCACTGTAAGCTTCTTAGAAAAGAAGGCGAGAGGTTGCCATTCCTTATTGATGAACTGTTGAAGAGTTGCGCCAACCGCGGTGTTTGAAGCATCGCTTACAATAGCCAGTCGAGCATTGTTGCATGGATGTGCGAGAAGCGTAGCGGTAGCGAGTTCCTCCTTGCATTTTTCAAACACCGTAATAGCCTCTGGTGACCAGTTAATAGGTTCTTTACCTTTTAGATTAGGTACTAAGAGATCACTTAGTGGTGATTGTGCATCTGAAGCTCTAGGTATAAAACGACGATAGAAGTTTAACATATCTAAGAATTGTCGAAGACCCTTAGCTGATGATGGCCTCTTGAAGCTCAATATATCAGAGACTCTATTAGGTAGAGGACGTGTTCCTTCCTTAGAGATCATGTAACCCAAAAACTTTACTTCTGATTGTGCAAAAACGCATTTTTTTGGATTAAGAACCAGAGAGTATTCGCGTAGCCGTTCAAAATGATTTGTATATGTTTAATGTGTTCTTCCTCAGAAACTTATGCCATCAGAATGTCGTCAATGTAGCAGAAACAGAAATCAAGTCCACCAAGTGCTTCGTCAATAAATCATTGAAACGATTGTTCTGCATTTCGAAGCCCAAAAGTCATAAAGAGAAATTCGTAAAGTCCAAATGGTGTCACGATTGTGGTTTTAGGGATATCTTCTTCAGCTACAGGAATTTGACTATAAGCTCGGACTAAGTCAATTGTTGAAAACATTGTTTTACCATGGAGAAAATGAGCAAAGTCCTGAATATGACGAACCTGGTACCGATCTGGAATAGTCCGAACATTTAGAGCACGGTAATCTCTACAAGGACGCCAGGCATCCGTTGTGTTCTTTGATACCAGATGTAATGGTGATGACCAGGGTCCATGAGACGTTCGAATAATGCCTAATTGGATCATAGCTTCAAACTCTTTTTTTGCTGCTTTGAGCTTATCAGGTGCTAAGCGTCGTGGTTTACAAGATACTGGTGGTCCTGGTGTCGTCAGAATAAAGTGCTGTGCTTAATATCTTTAGTCGCTCCAAACGGTCGGGTGATCTCAGGAAATTCACGTAGTAAGCCGTCGTATTCAGTTTCTCCCACGACAACCTTAATAGATGGTATGGAGCATTTAGCAGCGTGACCCCGAGCAGTGAGTTGTGTAAGTCCGTCTAAAAGACATTGATTACGCATATCTACCAAAGATTGTAATGACTTAAGAAGTCAACACCAATAATGGGCTTGGATACTTCCGCAATCACAAATCTCCAAGTGAAATCTCGACGAAGTCTGAAGTTTAGACGGAGCGTGATAGCGCCGTAGGTGTTAATAGGCGTACCATTGGCCGCTGATAGGATGTAATCGGTTTTTATTCGATAGCCTGGAACAGCACTACGTGGATAAACACATAAGTCAGCACCCGTGTCGATGAGAAATTGTGTTTGAGAAGTTCGATCTGTGATGAAGAGACGGCGTGGAAACGGACCAGTGATGCCCCGTCCCGTTTCCCGATTTTTAGGTGCAAGGTTCCTTGCATTTTCGCGATTGTGATCCATAACACCAATGATACCAGCATAATCCATCTACGACATGAAAAGTACAGCTTCGAGATCGAGATTTCGAACGGTAAGTACTTTGTTTTGAGTTCGGATTACGCGAGGGACGAGTATTTATCACCGCTACTTCACTTCTCAAGGTCGCGATTTCTTGATTAATACTTAAGCTAAGTTGAGAGATCTTAAGATTCGACATGGCTTCAAAAGTATCACTTCTTGAAGTCTCTGCTATTTGAAGTTAGAAAAGGAACCGATGCATCAGCGATGTTTTCTGCATGGACAGCAGGATCTTCAAGCTTGCTCTCTTTAACTATTGCTAACGCTACTTGTATACTTTTCGGTAAGCGACCCATCCAGAGTGTCTTCAATAATGTTTCCGGAACGGAAGAGTCAGCTAGGCTTTRGAGGTGGCKTAAAAATTGTGACGGTTTACGGTCTCCAATCTCAACGCGTTCCAAAAGTTGGCGTGTTTTTTCCTCTTGGGAGGCACTAAGACGTCTTATTAATTCCTGTTTAATTTTAGCGTACTTACTGTCCGAGGGCGGCGTCATAATTATGTCCTTGACTTCAACCGCATATTTTGGCGTTAATGCTCCAACTACATACCCGAATTTCGTACTGTCAACTGTGACTCCCGCACTGGCGAAACTTCCTTCTACCATAGCAAACCAAAGTTCGGGATCTGACGAAATGAAGTCCGGTATCTTGACTGCCACTCGAGCAACCGTTGCGTCTGTCTCCGCCATCACGTCAAGGTCACAAATTTGTGGGTTTTAGGCAATAAAAATCACTCACAATTTAATTTAATTAAAAATAAACACTTTATTACATAAATATGTGTGAATTTAAATGTGAAAAACAAATATCAATATATGTTAC